TGCTTTTTTGGCTGCTTTCACATGGCTCCAAAGCAAACAAGACTGGCCCCGCTTACAGGCCGTAAAACTTGTGCGTCAGCCTCCTCAGCCCTGTGCTCAACAAAATGGCACGGAGCTGTTTACATTTTCTCATGAAGCGGAATACAAAATAATTATGTGATTTCAAATTATAATACAGAAGCTATTTCTAAAATATTTGAAAGCCACACAAAAATTTGAATTCTCCCCACTTTTTATGGAAACACATAAACTGTCACGAAGGTGCAGCTACAGTTCACTTTTTTTTTTTTTTTTTTTTTTCAAAGAACGATAAATCATCTTGTGACAATTGCAGGAACAACTTCAACCCTGAGCTGGGTGGGTGTACTCCATGGCAGCTGTTGACTGACATTTGAGTGTCGGTGTTACAAGGAGACGCGCTGTCATCTGTGGTACACGCCTGACTGGAGCATGTCATGGCTCCGCACAGCCTATAAAACGATTTAAGACATGTGATAGGTCACTTTATAATGTTTAAGTAGTTGAGATTGTGCTGTTAAGTGACTCGGACAGTGACAGTGAGAAAGCTAAGCTAAGTAGCTCAACTCAGAATCTGGGGCCAGTCAGCCTCGGTGGTTTTGATGTGTTGGCCACTACTGGTGTTGCATCATGTGACACACTATGACCCAAACAACCTTGTAAAGCTTTGAAACAGGGAAACCAAATATTCCAAAATGACTCATCAATTGTGGCTCGCCTGGACTGCATATAACTTGGTGACATAATGTAGTGGGTCATAGTCATTCAATGTACCTTTTTTTAACAGCTTTTAAAGTAGTATATAGTATGAAACACTATTTTTATTGCAAACCCATAAACACACATTACATTGATGTACATTGATTTAAGAGATACTTAATTGATCCTCCACCATAATTGCTACTTGCATAACTCTAACCCTAAACTTAATTTAAACCTAATCTTAAATAAACTTAACCTTAGCCTAACCTTCAAAATGTTGTCACCAAATAATTAATTAATTCACGTTACGAGACTTGCTTTTGGTCGCCATAAAGAATCTCCATAATGTGTCTGTGCAAACAGATTTAGTTTCCCACAATATGAGTAATTCCTGAAGCACACACACTCACACACACACACACACACACACGTACACACACACAATGCATCAATGAGCCTGAGGGGAATACCAACGTTAGAACTGCTAATGGCAGAATCTAAAATACAAATAGATTTGTATTTGACTCATCAGCAGCATGTTCCAGTCATGTTTCCCATCACTCAAATTGCACTTTACTTTACTTAAAACCATCTCAATCACATTCAACTGTAATAATGCAATCTGTCATTCACAGCATGGCCGTGTCTGTTACACGAGGGCACGAGAGCCAGATTTAAATGGCGCCTCTGAATGTTTATGGTTGCTTCCTCATCCCTAAGTAGTTTGAATTGCGGGTTTTTTACTGAACAGTGTACAGCAGTAATCATAGCTGTGATTGGCCTTTTATGCCTCTACGTAAAGAACAATCAAAGGAACCAGTAAATGCTCAATGATTCATTCGCATTTACCGTCACGGCGTGAATGTCAGTGTACTTGCCAAAACAAGCACCCTGGGAGCTGAAGTATAAGTAAGTCGTTTTTTTTCTCCTGTGTTAAAGCTTTAGTCTGAGTTTTCCAGGTCAAGGTTGAACTCTTTAGGTGAAGCATTCTGACCCATTTGGAGGCTCGTCTGTTCCACAGGAAAACAACACCAATGGTCACAGGCGGAGGATTACGAGTGTTTGATGAAAACAGCTATAGGAGGGATTTATCAAGGACTGTGTTGCGTCGTTCAGTTCGACCTCCAGAAATGTAAGACACTTGGAGTGAGGTCACTACAGCAGCTTAATGTTTTTTTACACTGGTCCTCATGTTATTCTATTCCACATGTCTAAGCCGTTGACTATAATCTAATGATTGGTCCTCAAATGTCCAGGTATTATCTTTAGAAAATATACATTTACAACATTCTTTCTAAACTATTGACTTATGTGTTTATTTTAAGGGCAGCAGAAAGAATTCAAGGCCTGCTGGCAGAATATAGGTTGACTTGCAGTTGTATATATATAGGCTCGTTTTTTATATGGACACTTAACTCCAATTAACCTTCATTCTCCTATTTGCCTGTAATCACATTATCCTCTGGTATTTGAATCTATTTTCCTTTCATCCACGAGAGGCCATGTCCTCCCGCTACATGCCTGGAGAAAGGTGCGACGGCGCAAGAACAAGCTTCTCCTTGTCCTACATCTCCCAGTTGGCCAGAGAACCAGCCTGTGGTCTGCTCTCCCTCTCTTTTTCTGTCTCCCCCTCGGATCTCTTTCTCTCTCAATGCTCTCCTCACGCTCTCTTTCTTAACGCTCCCCTCTTGCTCCCTCGCCGCATATCTGAGCTGTGCCCCCGGGCCATGTCCAGCACCAGACAACGTCTGATTCATGCCTTCAGTCAGCTACTGCGGTCAGCTGACTCTGTAGTATGATAAGACCAGGCTTGTTGAGGGTTGATTCAATATCCTGCCAGGGTCGCTGATCAATTCTATTGTACTGTCAGTGAGCCCAAAGAAGAAAGTAATTTATGAGAACAGGTTGATAATCAAAAACCACAACCTATATATATATATAGTGATTCATTCAGACTGCCAAAATAATGTCATATGATTTGAATTCTTACTAAATGGTTTAAAATGGAGTTTGAAACAGAGCCTTGCCCCTCTCTCCTCCCCCTGCACTGTACAAAAACACATTCCAGCTGTCAAATACATTCATTCATGTCCCTCTATATAAAACCATTTTTGACTACCTGCCTGTCGCCCAAAGCAATTATAGGTGAAAGAGTTTACTTTCAGCACCTATGCTCCAGAAGCTGCATGTTGAGCTGTCTCCAGCGCTGACACATTAGTGACACATTTTCAGAACCGATGAACGAATCACGATGCGTGAAAGTTGCAGTGAGTCCGAAAGATTCGTATAGGTCACCTTGGACCGGCTCGGGCACCTCTACTCCACGACATTTCTTCAACCATGGTTACTTATTGTATGGATGAAGATTCTGGACGCAAAATATGAGTTGATCTTAAAAATCAATGCCATATCTAAAAAATATTTGTTTGTCAACGAATCTGAAAATGATTCCTTCAAGTTACCAATTATTCATTTCGACTGTTAAAGCTGAAAATTGTGAATGTCGAAAACCAACGTAAACCAACAGTGCAAAAATGAAAAATCTGTTATTTATATGTCGGAAAAGCAGCTGGGTGGTGTTCTGCTTGAAATAATTACAACAGCTTCACATCAATAAGCACCAACAATAAAACGCTGCTTACTTATTACTCCATCAGTAAATGTGACTTAATAATGGGATATAGAAAATACACTGGCCATTCCAACTTCATAATGAGAACTTTACACTTTCAATACATTTAGCTAATGCTTTTAATTACACCTTGGGTACAGGACTTTTCATCATGGTGGATACTCTATTATCTTGATATGAATAAAATTATTCGAGCATGTGATGCAACAAGTCAGCTATTAGCCACAACAGGATGACTGCACTGTTAAAACAGCCAAACAGAGTTTGAGTTGAACCTAAAAGCAACTTGTTGCCATGGAGATGACGTGAAAGCAAATTAAAATGTGACAAAATACATTTTCTCTTCAAAATTCGTTCAAATCAATTTAAATAAATATAGGTAAGGTATCTGATGGGTGGTGACCATTGATCTGATGAAGCTCTGTGTGTTAAATAGTTTATTTGGAGGCTATTTGTAAACTATAATGGATCATTTTGGAAAAGAAATGTGACATTTCACCAAGGGGAAAAAAAAACTGCAACACCACCAACAAAAAGATACTTATTTAACAAAGTGAATAACTGAATGTATTTGGATAATTTAATGTTGGAGGTTGTATGGTGATGTTGGTGAGTTATGTAGTGTTATTCACTGTAATGTTTCCTCATTAATCACATCCATTGACAGTCATGGTGTAGTTAGTATTTAGTGTGCTGGCGGTGTGTTCAGCAAAACCTGTGAATAAAGAAGCTTTTTCAATAGAGTGCATTCAGGGAAGCTTTCTTCAGCATAATGATAAAATCATGTTTTTGATCATAGGGATGTCATTTTCTTTTAATATTTATATTGTGTTTACCTGTGAGGAGCACTGGAGCACACCCATTTAAATAATGAGACCATTGCGTTAAGGTGTTAAGAGACAATTGTTAGTGTTTCACCTCAGACGTTTCCGCAAAGTTATTGCTGCAAACGCTCACAATTACTTTCTGCTGGAGGAAGGAAGAGCAGGTGGCAGATTTCAGAGAGTAAAACAGGCTCTTACACTGCTCTGAATCTTTAAAATAACCCAGCAGAGAGGGGTTATTTTAAAAATTTGGGGTTTAAAAAAAAAAAAAAAAAGAGTGTGTACTCAACCTTTTATTTAGTGTCTCCTGTAGGGCACCCATTAAAATCATCAACCCTGCTTAAAAGTTTGCTTCAGAGGGATTTGTCACCCCAGAGGTTGACAAGACAAGAGCACGAGGTCAGGGAGAGACAAGGCGAACAACAGGCAGTGAACTAGAAAGAAACACGGCAGCCATGAATAATGCATGAATGAAAGGTTTATCTAATGGCTCTCTTAAAACTTTTAAAAGTTCATCTTTGCTTTCAGCTGGAGATGCTCTTGGCTAAAAAGCTCCTTTTTCCAACTTAGTGCAGTCATCCTCCGAACTCAGCTGGAGAGAGACGCTGATTGGTTTAATTATGTTTGCAGTGATTAGGCATCTTAATGGTGCTCATCACAATATGAGACATGAATTACAATGATGCTGAGATGTGACAGCCAGGGTATAGATTTGTCTTTCTCTACTTTTTTTGTAGCGTACAGACAGAATAGACATCGAATCACCAGACTACACAGACATGCACACACGCACACTGTAAGACAGTTTAAAGAGGGACACTTACCATCTTTGGACAGTTGGTGGTCATGGCAGGGTCGGAGAAGAACAGAGACTCAGAGTGAGTGCGGAGCGCGACCTCGCAGCATTACACTCACATCCCAGCCCGGCTCTGAGACACGAGGACGAGACCATCGGGGCTCGTTAACTTGAAAGCGCGGATGGAGGTCGGCGGGCTCGCTGGAGTGTGTCAAGAGGAAACTGCAGGCACCACTCAGCCAGGCCGCGGAGAGACAAGACAAAAGCAAAGATAATTCAAAGACGCCAGCAGTTTCTCCTTCCTCTTCCTCCTTGCTCTCTCTGGTGTAACTTAACCCCCGAGGAGTCCCGGCAAGCGCACACATAGAACCAGTTCCAGACCTGTCCCGCACCAACGGCTGCCTCTCCCCCTTCTGTCTGCGTTTTCTCTCCCCTCACTGTTTTTTGGTATCATTTAACTCTTGATTCCGCAGCCCGGCGATGAGCTCACCGGGGCTCAGGTTTCAGCTCCTTTACTGGAATGCGAGGCCGGCCGAGCGGAGAGGCAGAGGTGCCGGCGAGGTCAAAGGCTACTGGGGTAGTGTGGAGGAATGGAGAGGAGAGCGGTGTCTGTCATCTGGGGGAGTTCCAGCAGAGGGATATCTGAGGGTCCTGGAGTGTCGAGAACAAAACAGGAGTTACAGGGGTCATGGGTTACGGATGTTGCGGGGGCCAGACAACATCTGACAGCTCTAGAGGCTGTGGACTTGAGGACACTGAGTACATTTACACGCTCAAATACACACACTCACATGGACAACCTTCTCTTAAGTGCCAGATTTATTGCTCACTTAGAGAGAGAGAGAGAGAGAGAGAGGGGTGTTTCCCTCTGGGAAACAAAGACTTTTTTTCAAAGTTTTGTGGACTTGCTGTTTTCACATTTTAGCAGCCCCTGACACTGCTATGAATATGAATTATGCAGTCAAAATACAAAATAAATAGAGTGACCACAACCGCAGGAATAATAACAATTTTATTTGCATAATATATGTTGAAAATGGATTGTTACCAGCTGCTTTACAATCTTGATAAAACAGCAATAAAATGGAAAAAATAACATAAAATGTAGTTTTAAAAAAATAGGCTTTAAATAAAAGCAAGAATGTGTCAGCGTCTTAAATAACCTACAAGGAAAACAAAATAATTTCTAGATGGTTCTGATCGGGCGGACATAAAGACGATCTGAGCAAAAGTTACCACTTCTCAGAGAGGAATCCTTTATGATTCACGGAGTTCCTTTCGATTCTTTTTGTGGAAGATATCTATTTTCATTTTCTACGTCTGTCTTGATTAAAGCGCTATCTGCCCCCTCACCTTTCATTGTACAACTAGCTAACATTAGCTAGCTCCTGCTAGCGACAGCAGCCAATGGGGTGAAAATACCTGTATTAGAAACACCTTGGGTACAATACAACTAACATACATTTCATTTATCTGATTTATTTGGAAAAATGTTAAAAAAATAAATTCATAAACAAGAAAAGCAGACAAACCCTGATCAGACTTGTCAGAACGTACTAAGTTATTCAGATAATGTAAGCCATGCTCAGTAGGAAGATTTGAAATGTAATTAGTGTTCCACATGTTTTCATTTCCTCACTGCAGTCGTTCCATGATTTTTACTTCATTTGATTGTGACTCAGTGACATTTCACATTAGTCCTTACTAATGCAAAACATAAAGGTTCCTCTAAAATCATGTTTACTTCCTCTCATTTGAAACAACTGTTTTCCTTTTTGTTCTGTAGGCTACATGATTTGGGCAGTTTTGAAGTCAACCGCACATCTTGAAATTATAATGCTTTTTTTTATTTTTTGCTAATTTAAACTTTAGGAAAATGAGTTTGGTTCCCAATAAATGTTGCTGCCTACAATCCTTCAGAATGAAGCAATCTCCCTCACAAAATTAGGACCAACACTGACATCATTAAAAATAATGAAATTCATCTGCAGCCAAAGCCATGTCATTAATTGTTTCCTGATACACCCTACAAACTACAGTCTACAAAATGATCTTAAAGGTGACTCCACACATTTATTAGTTCATTCTGGTTCCCAGAAAACTGAACACCATGACCTCTATGAACGTAGGGTTTATTTCACCGTGATTATATCAGACCGTATTTTTTAGGTGGATCTAAAAGTGTAGCAGCTGTTTCGATTATTTCCTTGACTCCAACCAGTCTTAAACACGTTGTTAACAGTTTTCTTTGAGATTAGTATTTGGTAGAAAGTACTCTTGTTCCAAGGAAAACTGTGGATGTGTTACGTGGATTATCTAGAATTACAGGGGCATTGTTTCTCTGGGGAGGGGTGTTGCTATTTAATTGTTTCAAATGTAATTTCAGTACTTAGAGAACCACATTAACATTAACCTCCATCATACAAGAGTGCAGGCATGTCTCAGTGATAGAAATATTCAAACCCATATATCTTGTGTTGTTTTATACAATATGGGTGAATTAACACTTTAATTTAAGACAATGTTGTTTTATGATGTGAATGACTTGATCAATTAGGATTTGTACTTTTCTTTTTCTCTCATATATCTCTATATTGAAGCCATGGCAACAAAAACCCTTCAGTTTATAGTCTCAATTTGAACGTTTATTTTATGTAGAGCTGTAGCTCTTTGTATATGGATATACAAACCTTAGCAATCACGGAGCCTTGGTGCATTCACTGCCATAATACTGTGGCTACAATCTCTACTGATAATACAGTGTTTGTGGCAGGTGTGAGCAGCGGTGTTGTACTTCACTGTTGGCAAACTTAAAAACACAATTCAATTGCCAAAGAGAACAAAGTGATGCTTTTTAAAGAAGCATCATTAAACTGACTTTCCCTCAGCAGCGCAACAAAAATAACTCGGGCTGATTGAAGCGGCCTGGTGATTATTTGTTCATTATTTTGCCAGTCGACTCTCAGCTGCGTAACTCTCTCCTCTTATCCTCTGCGGCCGTGGCTGGCTTGGGACTGCAGCTCTGCTGGCCCAGCGCTGCTCCAGCCGCTGGGAATGTGTGGTCTTTATTAAGGGGAGGAAGTGTGCGAATGAGCACTGCAGGCCCAGAGTCTCAGGAATCTTGATCCTTTTTCCCCTTGTGGCACTTTTCACAAGCAGGGCCAGCAAATCACTTACTCTGATAGCAGAGTTCTGCATGAGGCCCTGGTTCTTGGAGAAAGAGGCAGGGGTTGGTTGGGGGGGGGGCTGCACTCCCACCTCTCCTGGTTTGCGGAGCATGCTGGGGAGTAGGCTTGCATTTTGTTTGTGCAGATGAGTGTCGGAGCGGGCACACCCTCTGTGGGTCTGTTCCCATGGGAACAGCAGTGATAGCGAACAGCTTGTTTTTGTGTTTTTTGGCAATGTTGCCACTGCTGGAGTAGTGACAGGCACTGGGGAGGTCTGATATGCAAAAGCGTTGCCAGGTAGGGCTTATGTGAAAAGAATGTTTACCTTTGACTTTCTCCTGTGAGTTTTTACATCCATGCTAAGTTATTTGGTCATGCAGCTTCAGTGGAATTTGACGTTTCTTCATCGGTAGGCGATGTTGATCAAATGGATTTTAGATTTCAGACCTTGCTCTGTGCCACAAGCTGACAGGCTGAACTTGTTGTTAAGGGTTCACAATCCTCAGGTGGATCATGACATCCGTTTTAGTCAAATGACTTCAGGTTAGTGTTACACGTCTCCACACGCTCGACTGGCAGACACTTGGTATTGGTTTTGACCTTTCTGTGTTACACCAGGAATTCCACACCGCATAAACAGGAAAATAAGCTTTCTTAAAATCTCCCCTTCCCATTAAATTTCAAATGATAACATCGCAGCATGGGTTGGCTGACTTCATTAGCATATTTGTAACTGTAAACCTCTTGTCCTTATCTTTAAAAAAAATCCCCTGTAGAAGGGTGAAGAACAGTGAAGTTTTAAGACTTATTTGTACTGGCACTGTATGTGCTAGTCATTAACAAGCTAGTTAGAGGCAAAGCGAAAATGTACAAAAGCACTGAGTCACATTCTTTTAAAGAAGTCAATCTCCAACTGTGATGAAAACAAAAATATTCTTTTGCGGCTTTGTGAAAGGCAACACAAGATTAATTCTGTAAAAACAAAATCTATTGCCAGTGTCCAGGAACAAGGAACAAATGTCCCTCGCTGACCCTCATACATCAAAGACACTCAACCTATACATCATATTCTTTTGTTTTCATAAATATTGGACACACAGAGCAGCGAAAGCGCAAAATGAAATTAAAGTGTACGTTTATTGTGCAAATGATGGCCTTGCTTTATGGTGTTTGGATTCCTAAATGAAAACATACCAGATGAAACCCTTCACCAGGCTTCTTGCTGAGAGAGTGAGCTGCACGGAGACCAAACGCCTCGCCTCTCCTGCCGCCCTCTCCCTGGGACGGCGGGGTAATTACATCATTTGGAGATGGAATGAAAGCACTTTACAAGAGAAAGTAAGTGAAATGCTTTATTGCTCACGGAATTGCCAATTAAAAAGCAGCACCTGGAACACAGAGGCCCCTGTGACAGGACTGAAACCCGCCAGTCCCCTGGTCCAAGGAGGCCCCTTGAGAATATTTTTCTTTCCGTCTTTATGTGTAAAAGGTTGCCGACAATGCACCTTCACACCAGTTTACATAGTCCATAAGTCACCGAAGCTTGATGTGTTCTTAAACGTGAAGCCCATTTCCTGGGTAGAGCATATGTTACGGCTACAGTGTAAACCTGTTCAGGGCACGCTACTGAAAAAGAAAACAGTGGTGATTCTCTCCAGCACCCAATCCACACCCGTCCAGTCCAATCCCAGATGTGTTCCAGGCTCAGGTCTGTTTCCCCCAGGAGACAGAAACAGACCAAACTGAACTAATATAAAGGTGGAGAAAAGAAATGTGTCTTACATATTCTTCCACCTACTCAAGTGTCAGTGGAGGACATGTCTGTTAGCACCTCTTCATCTCCCAGTCAGTTCAAGATTGTAGAGACGGCCCTCTGAGTCTATACTCAAGTCCATTTGCTGATGGAAAGCAGGCGTAGCGTTTACTAATTTTTACTATTAGTTTAGTATGTTGTAGCAGAGATCACCAAAGTCAATAGAACTCACCCTCAAGGAAGCAATCAATGTCTGACTTCTTCTGGCAAGCTATCCAACAGTTGATGAGATATTTCAGTCAGGGCGACCAACCCAGATTCATCCCCAGTGCCACACTGCTAACTTGGTTAAAAAAAACAAAAAAAAACAGACATCAGTAAATGAATTTAATTACATGCTTGTATGTCAAAATAAATGTCAAAAAATGAATTAAAATAAATCCTTATTTAAATACTTTGTCTATCCCTTTGTTTCTTCCTGGTCCTCTGCCCAAACAGTAGTGGAGTCACATGTTTGCCACGCCCCTGCAGGAGTTCCCTCTCAGCCCGACCACAGTCTGTGACACCCACAGCAAATATTAACATCACACTGCTATGACGACACGGGTGACGACACGGGTGACAACGATGCTGACAGGCATTACCATGGTGACAGCAGTCATAGACACACATTTGTGGTGTCAGAAAGGAGGACTTATTTATTTTTGCAAATGTCTTTACCAGCACTACTG